CTCCCTTGCTCCATGTCAAACTGACGGCTCCTTCAATCGCCTCCCCCTGGCACTTTGCTTTTTCCTTTTTCACACTTCGCTCTGCAATTTTTAAATTAATTTACTAGAATTAGTACTTTTCTAATTTATTTTTATTTTTACTTTTAGCCTGTTGCGCGTATCTCTATTTGCCCCTCAAGTCATTTAGAACTCAGATCGATCTAGTCTTAAAAATTGCACAATGGAGGTACTCCCAATTTGGCATTGATGGTCCGATCAAACAAACCCAATCTCCTGCTGGGATCAAGAAGAAAGGAGGGGGGAGGGGATGGGGAAAACCGCTGAAGGAGGGAAATTAACGGATACTGAGATCATGGATGGGTGATGCCCACGTTCCCAAACACCCAACAAACACAAATCCAGACCGCGGGGACAGTAGGCACCTCGTTCGCCATCGCGGGCGATCTCTCTAGTAGTAGTTAGTTAGTCCTTTCGTCCTTAGTCACTCCTGGCCTTACCGTACCTAGTGCGCCGTACTTTAGTGCGCGACTTAGTGGCCCTAAAGGAGGATCTCTCCTTCCGATCAGGAGTCTAAACTGGGTCGAGAACTTGGCGCATCTGTCGAACTGCCTGTTTCGGAAAGCAGGTGACTGTGAAGGAGGCAACGGATCCGGAGAGGAAAATCAAATTCACCCTGCCCACTAAACTAAATATACACTGGCCTGGATAACAGCCTAAGAGGAGGTAGTAGTAGTATCTACTACTACACTTTACCTACCGGAGAGGATATCGCAGATAGAACTAAAGTAGTGCGGGCGGAATAGATGTAGATGAGATCCGGCACAGGCCAGGATCCTTAGTTGCTTACCTAGTACCTTGCTACAATCCCTACTACACCTGTAGGTGCAGGTGCATCGGGAATTGTCAAAAGAGCTACGAGGGGCGAGCTGCAATGCCATGCAATGCCATGCGCAGTGATGCGACATTTGGTACCTTGGTTCAGCACGAGCTGATTGGTATCTTCTCCGATCGCGCCGCTGATGAAACTTGGGGGATCCAGCTGATGCTGGTTACTACTTACTGTCAATGATCGGTCCTTTTGACTCATTGGATCGGAAATTCCCTCGATCAATTCGAACCACCCCAAGGGTTGTTGTAACCAGTGCAGTTAGTGGTGGTGGTTTATGCCTCAAGAGACTATCGAGTCATCCCACATGAGGTACATCATTTGTATCTTGTATTTTAGATGTAAATACTGCCCCCTCAGTGAGGGTTTCCGGGGGAGTTGATTGGTAAATACCAACTGATTCTTGTAACTCTTTATAATACTCGTCAAATTGGGGTACCCGCCAGCTAGGTCTACTATCGATTATATCTCTCTCTTGAAGTCAGTATTTCTTTTTCCCTTTCTCTTCAACATTTCGTTATCATCAATCATTTCGCTGGTACGTTATCTTTCGTCTACTTACGTTCTGCAGCAAATGCCATCTTCCGGACGTTACCGAGGGTGTTGTATCTCCGTGGGATGCCGCGGGCATGTTGGCCGAATCCAATTTTGACAGGTTCCCTTTAAGTTCTGGGTCGGGTCAAGTCGTTGACTGGCTGGAACCAGGTGCTGTCTGTAGCCACTCGTCTCGTTTCCCCCTCACCCGTTCTTTGTCAAATTATGGTCCATCGCCGCAGATGGGGCGAGTCTGGTCACGGGAAGTAAATCGGCAGCAGAATGTTTCTCCTCAGCCGCAGAGCAAGCCAGCACGCAGAAAAAGTACGCCCCAACAGGAGGCAACATCGGCAGAAACTCTCAGTATGATCATGCTTTTTCTGCATCTTCCATTCGATGCGACAATTCTCTGCTGGGTTACGTGCTAGTATCTTTCTTCTTTCTTCTTTCTCCTTCCGAGCTGTTCGGGAGGAGCTGAAGGTCCAGAAGCAATTATCTGCGTGCATACATGGCCGCATCGATCTCGGCAGTCACAATGCATAGTCGAGATTTTCTGCAGCTGGAAGATACTAAGTATGAACCTACACACGGACCAAAGTACATACCCAAGGGGCGATGATAATCTTACAGCTGGGTCGAGCCCTCGCCCACTGCTGCAGCAAAAAGGAATTGTACATGCGTCTCTTCCGACACGAGCTGTGACTGAGTAAGTCATTGAAGATGAGAACTACTATGTAGTAACCATGCATTTCGGTAAATATGCCGCTTTCTTCCTAGTATCATACATCAGACCCTGTGTGTAGATCAAAATCATTTGACGGCGCTTAAACCGGAAGATCAAAACCTGACCAGGTAAGAGCAGGTGAAAGTCTCAAACAGACTCTAGCCGTTAGGAACTCTCTTTCTTCTTAATATTATTCCAAAGATGTCATTCATAGCTTCGAGATTCGGCTCACGTTTCCAGACCGAAAACAAGGAGGTAGTAAAGGGCCTCGGATAAAAGGCCGATTTCCAGCGGAATTCCACTAACACTGGAAGGGAAATCGCGCCTAGGCAGCACTGGCCAGTGCAAATTTTCGCCCGTTCACGCGCTATCGACGATTGTGCTGAACTGCGGCCAGTGCCAGCAGTGCCAGGAGATGTAGGGGGAAATAGTGTGCGGACTAATGCCACCTAGTTCCTGACGGAAGTGGAGTGCGCAATCCGTCCCGCCAGCAGCATCCTCCTCCTCCTCCTCCTCCCCTCCTCCTCCACCACTACAAACTACTGTCATCATCACTTTGATTTCACCAACTAATCTATCTCTGCCCCCTCCGAGTCTCAGGATGGAAAAATAAACTAAGATTGCCCATCCAGACGCCTCTCGCGGTCGACTTGTCTAAACCCCATCAGCAGGTCGCACGCTCAAATTGATCTGGGGAGGCAGAGAGGGGGGGGCAAATCCATCTTGCACTGAGTGGATCTACCACTGATCTTCCCGAGGCCCCTCCCCTCGATGGATTGTGGCCGTCTTGTCTTGCCCGCCCGGATTTCACCTTTCGGACCGGCCCAATCCAAAGCTGCAAAACACACCTCCGAAGAAGGCAACCTCCTTCTGCGCAACCAGGTTCACCTGCATTCTAGATACAATCCCAGTATGAGGGGTTTAACCAGCTCAACCGTTCACTAGGCTCTTCTCTCGTGCGCGGGTTCTGCGGTCTTCTTCTTTTGATTAAATGCCGATAAGGTTGCGTCCTACAGTTTTCTGATACATCACCTCGGGGATTGCCTGATGCGTAGCTCTGCTGCAACCACCTGGGACGGTGTGGCACCTTGACAAGCGATCAGGACGAAGCCCTCCCGCTACAATGCGTTCCTAATTAATTACAGCAAGCGACTGGTCACATTGCCACCCTCGTGCGAAGGGCGCACTCCACAAGCGAGCACTGACCTTCGGCTGCTGGTTTGTCTACCGTAAAATTCCTCTGCACTCTGCAGGTGTTTAATTTCGGGTCTTCAGGACGTGCGAACAGGAGATGGCCGATTTCAGGAAAAAAAAAAAAAAAAAAAAAAAAAAAAAAAAAAAAAAAAAAAAAAAAAATAATTATAAATAGATTTTATTATAAATTCTCGTTCGGGTCCTATATCAAGCATCAATAGGCCCGTCCAGTCGCTTTGTACAGACGGGAAAGCAGACTGCGAGCCTTCGGAACGGATGATTTTCACGCTCCCGTCACCGTGGCTGGCTAGG